ATCTCGGAAAACTGGTTAAAGGAACAACTGAGGAGGACGTCCGTAGTTTCGTTGACAAAGTCTTCCCTGGTGTTGAGTTTGTGATAGAAAAATTGACCACTAAAGGGACCAACGATAGTTTCAAATTGGGCTGTGACTTTGCCTATATGGCCAAAGTAATGGACAGTGCTATGTGGCCGAAGAATATAACCCTCAAGCGTTTTTTATTTTGGAGGGTGGGTCAAAACCCGGAAACATAGAACTAGGCCTAAACTCAAGAACTTGTTTGTCACCTCCCACCACTGAGGACAATATTTTAAAAGTAGTGGGTTTAAATGTACAGTGTATTAGGACTAAGTTAAATGTGCTATCTCTATTTATTAACGAAGTTAGGCCTGACATTTTTTGTATCTCTGAGCATTGGCTGAACATTGACGAGAGTTTATTTTACTCAAAGCTAGAATATATGACGCTTGCTTCAATTTTTTGCAGAAGTAACGTAGGACATGGAGGTAGTGCAATTTACGTTTCGGAACATCTGACTAAATCCATTAAAACTATAGATTTGAATAGATTCTGTGTAGAACTATGCCTAGAGGTGTGCGGCATCAGTATTCCCGAGTTATCCCTAACTATTTTATCAGTTTACCGTTCCCCTGATGGGAACTTGGAAGCTTTTTTTGAGTCTCTTGAGAACTGTCTTGTGTATCTGTCACAAACTGACTACAAAACTATACTGTGTGGTGACTTTAACATCCACCTGGAAGAACAATCAGAGGAAGAGCGTGTCTTCACTGATCTGCTGTTGAGCTGCAGACTTTTTATTGGGAACCGTCTGCCAACTAGGGGGACTGCCTGCCTGGACACCATGGCTACCAGTCTGAACGTGTGGGACTACAGCATTGAGGTAGTGGATGCCATGGTAGCGGACCACGATGCCGTTGTCTCCAGGGTAAACTCCGGTTCAACCTCGGTGAGTCCAAATCCAGTTTCTTGGCATAGAAATTATATTTTTAGTCATAGAAAGGTAAAAGATATAGATTTCCATAGATTTAGGACAGCTCTTGAGCTAACTGATTGGGTTAACTTTGTACAGTATTGTGATTTCCTATAGCCTCATGAAGCATTCTCTGCATTTCTTGAAATATTTGATAGAATTTTTAATGAAATTTTACCCACTGTAAATTACACCAAAAGTGTAGAAAACAAAGCTAAGCCTAGGAGGATTGCGTCTCATAAAGCATGGTATACAGATGACCTGCATAGGATTAAAATGTATGTGGTTCTGTACAGGGACTTGATGAATTCAGCATCATCTAGTGAGGAGTTTGCTCATTGGAAAACAATATATTTAAGAATAAATCGATATTACCGTAACACGGTTGACAAAGCTAAAAGAAATTTCAATGCAAGGTCTATTGAGATGGCTCACAACCCCCAGAAGGCTGCCTGGGCACTAATTAACCAAAATAGAAATTCTGCTAAGCCTAAGTCTAATGATAGCCCTGATGAGTTTAACAAATTCTTTATTCAGAACATTAATGAGATTGTTGACAATATTAACCTCACTTCTCAAACTCTTGATAGCTCATCCTTATTAAGAGCTGGAAATCGGTCGAGACAAATACCTACTATGTCAACCTGGAGGCTGGTTACTCCGGAAAAAATCTGTCAAATAGTTAAGGGCTACAAAAACTCTCATAGTCCTGATGTTTATGGTGTGTCCTGCCACCTACTCAAGTCAGATATTGATGTGATCTCTTTTCCTTTGGCCTGGCTCATAAATTCATGCTTAAGTAAGGGAGTATTCCCGGATGAGTTAAAGATATCTAGGGCAGTGCCAATTTTTAAGAAAGGTGACCCCCAACTTTTGACCAACTACAGGCCTGTAGCCTTGGTTCCAGCCTTTGGTAAAATCATTGAGTCAATTCTCAACGAACAACTGGTGACTCACTTTGAAGGGAACGATATTATACTAAGTGCCCAACATGGTTTCCGCAAGGGGCGATCAACTGTATCGGCTGTGCGATCATTAGTTGGTCAGGTTATGGAGGCCTTTGAGGCTGGCGACTCTCTGGGACTGGTGTTGTGTGATCTAAGCAAAGCCTTCGACTGCGTTTCTCACGAGATACTTGTTAGTAAACTCAAACATCATGGAATAACGGGGATTGCTCTTAACACCTTGCAATCGTATCTGAGAAACAGGAAGCAGGTAGTGGAAGTCGAGGGTGCTCGATCAGAAGAGCTTAGTTTGCGACATGGGGTTCCTCAAGGGTCTGTGCTTGGTCCCCTTCTCTTCGTCATTCTTGTCAATGATTTAGATCTTCAGGGCCGCTCACTTTTATATGCGGATGAAACTACCCTGCTGGCAAGGGGAAAGGACATAGATCAAATACGTCTGGACTCAGACAGATTACTTGACGAGGCCAAGAATTGGTTTGTGAGCAACAAGTTGCGCTCAACGATGATAAGACTCAGCGACTCATTTGCACTCTGAAGACGACTGATGCTGGGAACCCCTTGAAGCTCCTTGGCTTCTGGATTGATCCGAAGATGTCGTGTGGTGAACACGCAACTCAGGTCTGCCATAGGCTTTCTAGAGTCCTCTTTTTGCTAAGGAAATTGAAAAAATCAGTGCCAGTGGATTTTTTTGGTATCGGCCTATTTCGCACTGTTCCACAGTCACATTTCATATGGGCTGTTATTATGGGGACACTGTCCAAAGAGTCAGAAGATTCTGCGGCTCCAGAAGAAAGCAGTGAGGCTTTTGACTTCGGCATGCCGCCGAGACCACAGTAAGCCTCTGTTCTCCTCTCTTAACATTCTTACCATCTTTAGTCAATATGTACTTGACTCCGTCTGCTACGTTAAGGAGAACATTGGTGACTTTATACAGCGTGGTGCAGTACATCAGCACAACACTTGAGGAGCTATCGATCTGGATGTGCCAAGATGCAGACTGGCTAAGTCACTGAACAGCTTCCCAGTTATGGCAGTGAGACTTTTCAATAGACTCCCAATTGAAGTAAAGCAGGCGAACAATGCCCAGTTTAAAAGATTGGTAAGGGGGAGACTCCTGGTGGACCCCATATTTGACATAGACAAATTTATGAGGGAACCTTGGAGAGGAGCCATCCGCAATCCAAGATAGCCTAGACATGAATTGACACAGCCTATCCAGACCATCTGGTCATCGGCGACGCAGTGGTAATTAAGGTAATTAAGTAATTAGGTACGTCAAGTTTACCAACTCTTCAACGCAGTGTAATACATTACTTTGCATTTGAGCCTACATTAAATATTTTTTACCCAAACTTTACATCACAAAAACAGTCAGTGATATTTCACGTATCGCTTATTTAAGCAGGGTTGAACAGTCTTCATGGATTGTGACTGTGCATTTAAGTTTATTATTTGACACTGTGAAAATTGCAATTTAACTTTTTGAAGAAAGCATTTTTTGCTTGAAATCCGAATATATTTTACGTTGACCCTACCTTTGGCCACTAACTGAGACAGTCGTGCATATATGTAATATTTGTTTTAAATGAGGGACAGAAAATTTCATCGTACTCGACAATTTATGATATTCACTGGTTTACTAGACTAAAGTGCAGTTTTACTAATATGTACTTTAATATGTGGTAATTTCTTCCCTGGCCGAAACCAGCCTTATAAAGTGCATAATTGTTTACACAGGAAACAAATCCTTATATTAAAAGCAAAAGTTTGGTTTACTAGGTCGAACCCAAAATTAAATGCAATCTGAAGTAATCTAAAATTCGAGGAGGAACGCATAGAATATGATATAATTTGAAAAAGTAATTCATTAATGTTTATAAAGTTTGAAAGTATAATTGTGGACTACATATGAATTTATTCATGGATGAACAAAATACAGTTATTCATTTACATTATAATGGAAAATTACTTAAATTTTTTTAAACGCTAGTAGTCATAATTGTGGATTTTTTAAGGGGGATAAACTATTCAAACAAATCGTATTATAATAGACTTTAATAAATTAAACTTTTAACTTGGGTTTCAGCATGTTACAAAGGACCTCAAAGATATTTATAAAGTTCCAGCTTATCCTTGAAATACGACCGACCCACTTTTGGATGTTGTCCAAAGAGTCTTGGGAAAGAGCTGATAAAATGTTGATTACTGTAAAGAATACTATTTATTGACTCACTTTATAGATCAGCATTTTATGGATTATTATAGCAATACAATAAAATAACATACGTCTATTTCAACACAATTTGATATGTTAATTATATAAGTGTAAATATACAGTATATAATATTAGTAAGATAGAATATTAATAAAAAACTTATTTTATATTTTATTACGCTCTTATGATTTAATAACAACAATGTAAATAGTTATTTTAGTTAAGTTTAATATCTATCACTTCTGGCTTATTACCAATTCATTATAGTACCAAACCTTTATTTGAGCTTTTATCAATGCTCTATCATTTTTCTTGTATTTTAAAGTGTTTGGGTTAGGTAAGAAGGTGTTATAATTTACATATTGTATGATCTTTTTTTTCTTTTAAAGATTTTTGATAGGACTATGTAAACCATTTCTTATAGAAAGCTGTTTTAGTGGTAAATGTTTACACGAGGGAGTTTTACATTCAATGCAAATTACATCCTCGTAAAAAAACTTACAAAAAAATAAAATTAGAAGAAAACAGTTTAACTTTTACTACATTAATGAAAACAATTGATTTTATTTTAAAGATAAACAACACAAAAATAATCATGCTGAGGATGTATTAAACTAAGAATATAAATTTAAACTACTCAAGAGTTATATATTTGAAAATGTACATCTATTAACATCACACAAAACCAAAGATAATAAAACTATTCGAAATATAATACATGTTAAAACCACATGCAATTAAAATGGATTATTTCATCTACTCATCTAACTGGGGTAACAATAATGGTTAAATATGAAACAATGTTTTATAACGTTTCAAACAGAATATTTTATCAATTACATACCTCAGCGGAGCGAATAAACTGAAATCAAATATTTTTTTTCAGGCTTGAATGCATTTGAAAATGTATCCGGATTCACTCAAAGGAAAATTAATTCAATGTTTTCAAGTTATATTTGTTATCGTAATATTATTGAATAATGGATATCTTTTAGGTATTTACTTTTTTTTAATTTTAGGTAGACTTAAAAGGTTTATCATATAGAGCATATTGGTGCTTAGATGGGTGTCAGATTTTCACATAGGTGATTTATAAATATGAACTAATATTAATTAACCTATACATTTTCAAATTACATTTTATTTTTTTACATCCAATATTCATCTCTGTTCTCGTAGTTAAAAACAAAACGTTGGTAACCTTAAACGATATTCTTCGAGTACCTTCCTGGCTCGTTGAGATTAATTTTATACTCCTTTACTTTATTACTTTCATTATGGGCTGATAAATTTAGTAAAACTACTCACTCTAGCTAACACAATATAAAATTGAAAATTAAAGTGAGTCATTGTTAGGCATATTTATTTGTTTTTATGCAAATTTATATAGACTGTTAATCAATATTTTCTTTATAAATCGTTAAAATTAAAAACATTGGTGTTGAATAAAAACAACAAACTGGATTTATGTTATAATTTCCGTTTTATTACCATGAATATGCAGAGGGAAGTAATAAGTGTTAATGTATATATTAATTTTTTAAAATCTGAAATAATGATCAGCTCTTCTACAGCTTCATTGATTCTACTGATTAACCAATACAATTTAACGAACACCTATTTCATTTTACAAACAGTTAATATACTTTAACCAAACATTAAATCAATACAAAAGTTTATGGAAAAACGTTGACATGGATGTTTTCAATTATTTTATTGATAAATTATAATCCTCACGAACTCCCCATTATGGCGTGTTTTACGTTTTAGCACTGTAATTTTGGGAGATTATTGTATTGTTTTACAGTCACAGTATTATAAGTTATATTTTCAAATATAAAACCTTTTAGTTTTAAAATTAGATTTTTATACTGTATAACCAAAATGTGGGACTCATTTTCGGATTTATGGTCATGTATATTATTGTTTTAAGTATTTTCGAGTTGACTGAACAAAGTTTGTTTTGTTATTAACATAAATCCATAGATTGCTGTGTAGTTTGTATATATTAAAAGGTTTAACCAATCATAAAAAAAACTCAATACGAGACGGATTACTTGACCATTGCTTTTCATTGTAGCTTTTCGGAATCAAAGTTAGTTATTTTATTTAACAGTTTCTTTCTTTATGTGTTGCCGAATCTATCTGCATCATTTTTTCCTGCTGAGAACTACTTCAATTAAATAAACTAAAAATGTCACCAAAGGACAGTCAGTCTATACCTGATAGTCCATATAGTTTCCATAGCCCATGTGGTTGCAGGTGCAGGCGCAATGCTGGATATGATGACGTAAGTCCATGTCGAGCTCCCATTGGGCGCAGGGCATAGGAGAGGGGGCTGGTGGTTGTACTGGTGGTGGGGGGAACATGTCACGTGACTAGCTACTGACCAATCACAACCTGACACGTCACACCCCCACGCCTGACTCGACCCCGCCCACGGTGACCTTGGAGACTACATGTTGAAGTGCTGAAGATCATACTACCTCGCCAACACGATCATGTTTCTACCTGCAGTTGCGAGGCTGGTAGTTCATAATTTCCTGAAACATTTTTTTTTATTAATAAAAAATCAGGGTTTCAAACAGTATTGCTAGGGTTATCGTATAAATTAATCGTATCGACATCGAATCGCTACCGACTTACCATAAGAATGATAATAGTACATTTAATCACTGAGACCTAAAGTGGCTCTTTTCAACACGAGCTCAAGTTTGGCGATCACAAAGTTGTGTTCTCGAATAATACATGGAGAATCGCAGCCATCAAAACAAACGCTTTTAACTTTGCTAATGCAATTTTACTGCGTTTCCCGCTTATTCAAATTATGTGTTAACCCGAACAGAGCCCGGTCCTTATAATTTGAATCTGCGGACACTATTCTGGCGTACATGCGCTTTACGAGAAAAAAACCACAAGAATAAATTTTATGTTCACGAGTATTTCGTATGGTCTCATACCCTTATTTTGTTTCATTCCAGATTCTACTGGAAATTTATACATTTGACATCTCACAATCTATAGGTAATTTAATGACATAAATGTTGAGCAGTAAAATGAATTTATATTACGATTGCGACTGCTAAGTAACGAAGAAATATTTTGTGGCATTACTGTCAGCCATTAATTGTAATAAACCTAGAACAGCTACACAATATATCTCAACTTGCTTTCCAAACTGACCTATTATCGCAGAAATAGAGCAATGTTTGATTTTATTCATGAATTTATATTGAATTTAGAAACGTATAGTTGTGTGTTTGCTATCATCATAAATTCAAATTAAGTCCTCTTCGTTATTAATGACGGGGACCTTACTAATGCCCTTTTTTGCAAAATCGTCAAACCATGTTAATCTGGTGAATAACCAGGCTTAATCCATCATCTGGTATGGGGAAGTGCATCAGCTTTTATTGGTAAATATGAGCCTAAGCTGGTGCGGGAGGGTGAATCCTGAAAAGTCAGCAGATCCTAGATTAACCCCCTCTCACCCTTGGATATTCACCACCTTAATTTGTTATGTAACTAACCTGTTTTGCGGCGTGATGAAAAGTAGTTAACATGTAAATTGTCATTCTCTACTGCAGTTAATTTACTATTATTACTTTAAATTTTACTAAACGTTTTTGTTGCTGATGTCCCAAAATATTTGTATTTGTTTTGTTCAAGTACATAACACGATGTTTGTGGTGACTTGAGTAAGTTTATGTCAGTTGATTCTTTTATAATCTATTTTTAATCTATTTTTAATTGCAATGCATCAATTTTGACGTGAAATAATGAAAAAAGTTACATAAACAAGATCGCATTAGATTGTTTTCTGTAAAAAAATGCGTGTTTGCACTTTATACCATTTTGTAATTGTATCCGTAAACAGTTTTCTTTATTCGCCTTTTTATGTTATTTGATGTTGGTTAGTTTTTCTTTTTTTCTAATTTTTATAATTGGAGTTGATTACATTTGCCTGACTTGATGTCAATTGAACAGTACATTTTGATGATCGGAGACATATACTGTTTGAAGGTACCTATTTTCAATAAGAATAAATGCTATTTAATTCGTGATTATTTTGATATTTTATATGATTGAAACCATTAAATATATTTTAGAGGTATAATGTTATAACTTTAACACAGTGGCCTTGTTCAGCCGAATGCAATGCGTATACAACGTACATGTAATCCGCAGGTTGTATGCGTTTAGAATTTAATGAGCTCATTAATTTTCAATTAGTATTATCCACGTATAAATGCCTAATGATCTGTCAATCTAAATCCCATATTTAATCCAAACACGAATAATACAAATGTTGATAACTAAACTATTGAAATCCAAATCTCCGCATACCTCACCTAAAATAGTTTTATCTTTATTAATAAAATAACATTTTTTATTTTTTCAGTTTATGTTTTTATAATTTTTCTATAGGTTTATGGGTTTTTGAATAACCGTGTTTTATTTTATACTGGATAACCCGTTCCTCACAGTCAAGAAAAACTGCAACCTGCAATAAAATAATAAAGTCAGAATCTAGCTTGACTCCTCGGAGCTCTCGTTCCTACAAATCTTTGCCACAGTCATAAAATATTGGTGTGACACTATTCCTTGCATAACATTTTCATTAAATGTTTTGTTTGCATTATGTGCCATGCGCTGTTGGGGTCGAGTGTCAACGTCATACATAGAGATATGTACTCATATACCTGTGCTTACTTGGGATCACGACCTTCTTGAGGAAAGAGAGTATCTACTCGGTGGTAAAACGTGTCATGGATCTGACTATTGTATATTCCATGCCTGATTCTCTCATCTAAATGAGCTTCAGAGCTTAATGTGGCAAAGGTGAAATTAAATTGACGAATGTTATCTAAATAATTTCTGAAAGTCAAGCAGTCCTGTTTTCACATTGGGAGTTTCCAATAATTTCCTGAAAGTATGGCGAATCCCGCAAATGAGCGAAACAAACCTTTCGTTTATGAAAACAGAGAGTAAAGATTTAATTGTCTCGAATAGTCTTTTCTCGCTTAATATGTAAGCCACTGCCGCTCTGTTTCCGTCAAATGTTCCATTGGGAGGGTCATGATAGAGGTCAAATTTCTCGGCCCTTCGTTAGTTCATCGTCTTCTATGTGGTATTTAATTTTAAATTTAAAAAAAAACACGAAAGTTAACCAAACAATAGAAAATAACACTACAGAGCAATGTTTATACACATTATAAATTACATAATCAAATGGTAACGGGTAACTGTGCTGTGAATAAGCACTTTTGAACATTCACTTCATCATAGCAAACCGTAACCAAAACTGTATTCAATAAATACGATGTAAAGCAAATAAATCAAACTATTATAAACAATTTTTCGTCTTAAATTATGAACCAGACTTAGACAACTTAATTTAGAATTTAGAAAACAGATGTTAAAATATAAACATAAATTCTGGGTTTGCTTTGGATGTAACAAGTCATGCAGGCTGAGGTTAACCAACAACTTTTTCAAACCATGTACATAGGATTTATTGTAAGCAAATTGAATTGAGTCTGATCCAATGTCGACTGATAGCACTATTGTTAAAAGAAATTTAGCCCTTAACTAACTATACCCTTTATTAAAATCCTGAGAAGTATTTGCACACCAACTTAAAACAACTTTAATTTGACACCGAAAACGCTAAAATCCGTCCAGCCTTTATTGAGTTATGACTCTGAAAAGAAAACTCCTTGCGTATTTATGTATAGATTATACGTTCCCTTTTATAAGTTTATATTTTGCTTAAGAGTCCGAGCTGTAATAATATATTCATGATTTAGTATTGTATTAAATGTGTTTTGTCTTTGCTAATAAATAACTTAAATATAATACAAAGTAATTTTTTATATATACTTCGAATAACACTTGAAAACATATATTTACACTTATTCTGATTCAACAAGACGGCAAAATTATAAAACACCTTTATCAGGGTTAAGGTTTGAAAGGTTTGAAATTTTTATTGTATTGAACAAACCAAGAAGCTTAACTTTGTTAATTAAAATAAAATTATATAAAATAAATTGTATACCCAATACAATCAATGCATTTTAAATGTATAGTAATTAATCTAAACCTCGCCATTATTTCAAGGAAACTAATCCACAATAAAACTGTAGACGGTAGGATTACGAAGGGGCGATGGTAATCCTTTTCCTCTCTGGGAATGAAATCGCTTCAACTAATTAATTAGAAACCTTCCATTCCTTTAAGTCTTTTCCAATCAGGGCTTGGGGTTGAAGCTTGCAATATAACTAAAAATTAAAACAAAATCTTGGTAAGCATTGATTTTTATAAATTTGCTAAGGCTATTGTATATTATTTTGCACCTTAATTAATTCTACTAGCCGTATTTTGTAGGTACTGTAAATAAAACTAGTTTTCAAGTAACTAGAATCATGTGACACATCTTAATAAGATATGTTACACAAAATAAAGGTAAATCTTAGAAAAATAGAACGATTTATAGAAAAATAGTAGATTTTATAAAAAGAGTAGAAAATGAGTCATCGCATTCGCATATTTGAGGCCGTATGTTTGCAATGCGAGATTTATCGAGCACTTTAAATGGTCAAGAATATGAATAGACTCACTTTCGTGTTTTGAACGTTACTTTTAGCTACACTACAGAGACTGGTTATTTTCTTGAACATTACAAAACTCAGTGCATTTTTCTGGTTATGACTTCAATTGAAAGTTAATATCTACTTTGGCTGTACCATTTTGGTTGTTGAAAATTGAAACAGTTGACAAAACAATAACAAATCTTTGTTTGTTTACGTCGTAAAATATAAAAAAAAAATATAGTAAACATTAGTTTTCGTAGTAAGCAATATAATGATGAATTTTCGCAGGTGTTGAACATGTTAAGAAAACTGGTCATTTCACAGTAGTACAGCGAAAAGTACTAGTTTTACCTACTAATGAGAATCATGTGGCACATCTTAATAATACAGGTTTCACAAAATAAGTATAAACCGTAAGAAAAAAAAGAGTTCTTAGGAAAAGAACCATTTTCAACCACTAGTAATAATTACGTGGTTCCTCTTAAATTTACATATTCCATCAAATAAAGGTAATTGTTTTCAATAAAGGAAATTCCTAGTGAGGGAACTTATTTTAAACCAGTAACTAAAATGTACAGTAATTTTTAACGGGATACATCTTCAACAGCACGTGTTACATAAAATAAAGGTAGGAAAAAATAACAATTCCTACAGAGGGAACTCTTTTTTAACCGCTATACAGTATTTAGTTTGGTTCATCTAAACAGTACGTGTTACATTAAATAAAGGCAAATCTAGAAAAAATAACGATTCCTAAAAAAAGGAACTTTTTTTCAACCAGTAGTTATAACGTGGTTAATCTTCAACAGTACGTGTTACTAAAATAAGGGTAAATCTTGCAAAAAAATAACGGTTCCAAAAAAACTGTTTTTCAACCAGTAATGAGAATCATGTGATCAATTTTAAAAGTACCAATTCCATCAAATAAAGTTAAATCATAAAAAAAG